TTTATCTTGTGCCCCCAGCTTGAGACTTCGACTTTTTCAACCAACCCCGGCAACATCACAGCGTGGAGAACGGTCTCCGGAGAAATTGTACGGAGCTCACAAGGGGTGTTACACAAACTTACATTCCATCACCGCCAATCAGACCCTGAATTACTGCCAGTCATGATAAATGGATGTCTCCTTGGGGATGTACTGTGCTTTGAGAGGATATTGGACCTCAAACTCAACTCTATCTCAAGTGGAACTCTTATATACGATCCATCACCAAAGATGCAGGTAAAATGGTTGGCTCCCTGTACCGCTCCAGTAAGAACCTGACTCCACTGCTTATTGTGCAACTCCACCATTTGTTTTCCTTTTGCTTTCTTTTTCAGGAAGTAAGAGAATTTCTACACCACTTGGTTGCAAATACATTTGAAGTTGATGGCAAAACTGGCAATGAAGAGTTTCAGGTGTTTCTCATGGATTCTTCATTGCGATTACTGGAACACCTGATTTCAAAACTGGCTGACTTTGCAAAGTGAGTTTACCAGTTGTACCAAAATCAACTGACAAGACAGAATTTCTGTCTATATTTCTGAGATGAGGTATTGTAACTATTTACATTATTTACATTGTTTGGACTGTTGTCATATTCAATGTTTCAACCGTTTTACACTCTGGCTTTTGTCAGGTTTGGTTCAAAATTCCCATGTAGATCACCTGAAGAAGGCTGAAGTGTACAATGGCTGAAACGTTGTGAATATGACAATAAAGATGAGGACAATAGTCTGAACAATGCAAATAGTGTAAATGAAGACAGAATTTCTATTCAAATTTTAATTTTATTTTGTCACTTTTGTCAAATGAATGATAGGCTTGTTGTGCAGATTTTACCATAGCAAATCCTTTTTCCCTTTCATAAGATCAAAGTGTGATATTTGTTTTCACATCAATCAGATGTCTTTGTATAGCAAAGGAGTCAAATTCAATATGGAGTGTAAGGGACGCAACTCTTTCCGTAGGAAAATGTCTGACACAAGCAATGCAAACCGAACACGGTTGTAAATGGCTTCTGCCAATTTCTCCAAACGACCTGCTTTTATGGAGCCCAGACACACCTCATTAGCATGCATGTAACACGACCTTGTGAGACTGCATGAGACCGTGAATATTAAAAAGTCACGGACGCCATCTTGGACCCTTTCTTTCTTTTCTCAACCCACAGGCCAGACAGACGCGAGGGCGTTTGGAAGGTAAGCCATTTCTATTTTCCCCACACTTTGCTTGTGTTTTCTTTGACCTTAGCTTTAAGCTAATGCTTAAAGTGGAAAGAGTGTGACTCTCTTCATCGAATTTTGGCAAAAAGGCAGAAGAGTTTCGTGCTTGGTGTGAGCAAAAAGATGCACATTTTTCAGTTGATAACAAATTGGTTATATTAGATCTAAAGTAAGCCAGAAACCTTCTTTATTGATAGAATGAAAAAACAAAGAGAAAGTTTAGGAAAATATGTCATACTAATATGCTGGTGACAGTGTTGAAAAATAGATGTTATACGATTTAGTCTTGATTTAGCAACATCTGAATTCCAGTTATTATCCAAATTGAAAGAGACTCACTATCACAGAAAGACGCACATTTTTCAGTTGAGATCAAATTGGTTATATTGGATCAAAAGTAAACCAGAAACTTTCTTTAGGGATGGAATAAAAAAAGTGGACAGAAAGTTTAGTAAAATATATTGAAATAGTAAAAGAAAATTATGGAAGATTTTTTCGTTAAAAAAAAAAAAATGATTTTTTTTTTTTTTTTTAGTTACATTTTTGTTAAAAATAAAGAATCACATTGTTACATTAGGCAATGTGTTTTGTCCACTCGGCAACTTTTTAGGTATTTGACTTTTCCAATAATCTGATAATATTCACAAGCACTCCTATACCTAAAATATTTTGAAAAATCAATAACACTCGAAATGTGCCAGCTAAGATAAGTTTTCGTTTTCTTTATATATATATATATATATATATATATATATATATATATATATATATATATATATATATATATATATCCATTAAATTCATTTATATGCTAATACCATTGGGAATGGTGTGAATCTTCTTGTCTCCCCAGCTATCGGTAAATGGCAGGACAGACTGGGTTCTATAGCCTTGAGTGGCAACCAGTCTAGGTGAAGGAAACTCTGAATTCAAAACTGACCTGGGTAGAGTTGGGCTCTGTCAGTCCAAGAAACATCACTTCTACTGTGGGTAGAGTATATGTGGTACCCCTGTGACCCTCAGGTGTCATAGGATTTGTGATTGTGAGATATGTATATTAGTACACAATAAAATCTAAAATTACTTCATATGGGGAATGGTCTTATTCAACCCCTGTATAGACTGAGTTCATGTCAGAATGAGAAATTTAACTGTGACCAAAAAAAAAAAAAAAAAAAAAAGTCAAACAATACAGAATTTATCCATTTCAATGTTTCAGTCGGACGAAAGGCACAAGACAGTGTTCAGGGGAGGGTGGAAGGTATTAAAAGGAAGAGGTTTTATAAAATTAAACCTGGATATTAACCTGATGACATTAAATTGGGGTTATATGAAGAATGAAATGATAAATTAAAACTAAGAGAGGAATAAAAAAGGGGTTTAGGAAAAACTTAAATTATATAGATAAAGTTATGCTTAAAAATATAAAATCATACTTAAAAGTACTCTTGTAAAGACAAGTTATATTTAAAAATAAGATAGATTTAAATAAATTAAAAATAAGTCGTATTCAAATAATTTATATTAAAATGACGTAAAATTATATTTAAAAACGAAATAAATAAAAAAATTTTTACTTTTTAAAGAAAAGTTATGCTTAAAAATACAAAGTTATGCTTAAAAATACAAAGTTATGCTTAAAAATACAAAGTTATGCTTAAAAACAACCCTAAAATATATAGATAAAGAGGTGTAAATAATAAAAGGAAAGAGTTCTTAGAACTGGGGACAATTATAAAATATAATTAATATGGTTTAAAAATGGAAATATAGAAATTAGAATTAGTTATGCATTCAACATTTGAAGAGTTAGAGAAATATAGTAGCTAATAAAGTAAGATCTAAATTATGGAAATTTGAATTTGTTTTTATGTCAACTAGTTTTAAAGCTTCCTACAAAATCATATGTTGGATTAAAATAACAAGAGGCAGTGAGACTGAGGAAGCAATAAAAATAAGATATTTTCTAAATATATTTTTATGAGGGTTGATTGATAAGGAGCAATAATAGGGTCATACTAAAAATAAGAACTAGACGAGATATTCCTGGACATAGGCATTGAATTGAGAACAATCTATCCTCATAGATTAAAAAGTTCAGTTCAAAAATAAGGGAAAGAATATTTAGATGCTTACAAAATATTTAATATATGTTCAATGTTTGCATTTATTTTAAGTTTACACATGTGATTTTTTTTTTTCTTTTTGTTATAAAATCAATGCAAGATAAAAAAAATAATGGTGAAAAAAAAAAAAAATTAAATTCCACAGTGTAAAAATAATACAAGTATATATATTTTGTTGAGCAAAGCATATAAAATCTGTTCTTAATGCAATGAAACATGTTAAACCTATTGGAAACAAGGTGAGCAATAACCAAGTCATACTAAAAATAAGAACTAGACATGATATCCCTAGACATGGACAGTGGAATGAGAACAATCTGTCTCCAGAGATTAAATAAAGGGTTCAGTTCAAAATTCCCTATAGGTTAACCAGATTGACATACATATGATGAAGACTAGAGGACCCAATAGCTGAAACATTGTGATAACAACAAAGATGAGGACAATAGTCTGCATGCAAATAATGTCAATAAAGATGTTTAGTTTAGTTTCTCTAGATACAGCAACCACAAAATAGGCAACATATTTTGGGTACCTGCTATTTCAAAATTATACTTTGTAATAAAAATTATGATCTATTTATATATTGGGTGATTATGGCAGGCTATGAGATTTTTACAAATATTTTTACATGTTCTTAACAATTTTGATTAATTTTGGGAGCATAGTAGAATGTAAATCATGTACAATGAGGGGAAACTATATATTTTGATGATCAAACCATATAAAATCTGTTCTTAATGTAATGAGATATGTTAAGCTCATTGGAAATGGGGTGAAAAATAATCCATAGATTAAATAAAGGGTTCAGTTTTAAATTCCCTGAAGGTTACCTAGATCGACAAGGGCCTGATGAAGGCCAAAGAACACAATGGTCGAAGCGTTATGATAACAACAAAGATGAGGACAATAACCTACATGTAATTCCCATCTTTTTTTATACTAATTTCCTTTCACTTTGTCAGATTTTATTATGCAAGTTTTTGCAGTAAAATTGATGTTAACCAAATAATTTTAGAAACATTTTTCAGGATATATTTATCAGACGAATTTCAACTTATGTTTTATTAAGAACTAGCGACCATAGCCAGCTGGTCAATCAGAAAAAGTGTTCAATTAGAATGGAGCAAGAAAAGCATCATGTTTAGATGTAACAGTCTATCTTCAATTACTTTAAAGTACTTTCTTTAAAAAACACTGAATTAATGCAGTTACTGATATAACAGAAGTAGTCTATTTATTCAATCTAAGTTAGCCAAGGACACAATGGGAAAGGCATGAATCCATCTTTTACTCAAGCTACGATTGATTGATTGATTGATTTCATTTCATTTTTTTTTTTTTTTTTTTTTTTCAGCTTACCAACCTTTTGCAGGTTATTTAAAGCCAGAAAATATTTTTTGATTTTAAGAATTATTTATTTTATTGAGATAATAATATAATGATACAAGTCTTACTAATTAACTCATAGTTAGGGGAGAAGAGGTGGATTCATACCTTCCCAAGGCTGTCTGCATGTACATGAATATAATGAACCCAACTGGAATTGGAACTTGGCTTTCTGATTAACAATTCTGAGCCATTATCTATTACATCGTCTGCACATCCAAACTTATGGCACCTGATATTCCCAAGTGGTCACCCATCTAGGTACTAAATCAGGCTCAACATTGCTTAACTCTAGTGATTGTACAGGATCTGGTGTCCAAGCTATGGGTTAAAGAGCAAGGAAGACTAGTGTCTCTAGTTTTGAGTGGCAGCTTGGAAGTCCTGATTCAAAATCACTCTATTATCTTTTCTACAAAGTCATGGCAATTCAATGATAATAATGAAAAGGAAGCTGTGGAGAGCCAAGATTACCTGTCCTGAACAGACATGGTATTAAAAAATATACATTCAGCTTATTTTAGGGATTTTTATTGGAGAAAACTCCAACCAGAAATGAGGTGCTGAAAATTGTGATTATTCTTGTTTGATTTGACCGGCATTTAATATCAAACACAAGTTGTTCTTATTGTCTCTGTTTATTTTTTATTTAAACAATATAAGCATTTTGTTGATGAATTCTAAGAATTCTTTTATTCCTTTTAACATTTATTTAATTTTATTTTTTTAACCTTTAATCTATTTTAATTTACTTTTTAACATTTAATTTATTTTTTTCCAGTCATGCCAAAAGGAATAAAATCAATATCAACGACGTCTACATCTACCTCAGATCTCATCCTGTGGTGGTAAATATTTTTCTAATAAATTAGAACACTGGAACTGATTTTGGTTAATTCTTGACTATTATTTCTTTCATCTTAACTTGCTTTTAAAAAGTAATTGTTGCAGAAGCTCAAGTTGAAATATATAGCTCATTTCAAACAGGAGCAGTATCAGTAACATATTGAAATTTTATTATTTGATGGAGCATTGTCAAGTATTCTTCATTTTTGACTAGCATTTCTTTCATTTTCATTTCAATTGTTTTATTTCCACTATTTACATTATTCAGACTATTGTCCTCATTGTTGCCATATTTATCAAAACATTTCGGCCATTGTACACTCCAACCTTCTTTGGTGAAGAAGGCCGGAGGGTACAACAGCTGAAACGTGATAAATATGGCAACAAAGATGAGGACAATAGTCTGAATAATGTAAAGTTTTATTTCCACTAGTAGTATTAGTAGTAGTAATATTACATGGAATTTTCGTTAGATGAAGCATTGTCAAGCATTATTCATTTTTTGCTAGGATTTCTTTCATCTTCATTTCAATTGTTTTATTTCCACTAGTAGTATTATTAGTAGTAATATTATCTGGAATTTTCATTAGATGAAGCATTGTCAAGCATTATTCATTTTTTTCTTGTCAGTTTTGAAATCTGAAGATAAAAATGGTTGAATTTTGAAAATTGCTTTGTTCTTCAGCTGAGTGCATTAAAAGACGATATGATTGAAGAGGATGTTGACGATATAACCTCCAGCAGCTGCAGTATCCTTCCTCTTGTAGATGATTCCAATTGAATGAACTTTACTTGGACCATCGTTTTTTTAATCTGGAAATGAAAAAAAAAAATCGTCATTTTGAATCACAAACTGTTCACCTATTTTATAAGCAATAAAACAAACTCTTTGGAAATGAAAAAAAAAAAAAATTGTCAGTTTGAATCACAAACTGATCACCTTCTTTATAACCAATAAAACAAACTCTTTGTATGACTAATTGAGTTTGGGGGAGAGAAGTCACTTTTGCTGCCACAGTACTCCTCTCTTGTCAGTGGAAGGTGAGATCTAAAATCCATATTGGATGACTGAATTGTTGTCATACACAGACTTGTAAAGTTTTATTTTTAAATTAAGTATAATAAGAAATTCACAAAAATAATTATTGAAATAGAACGAGAATCGCAAAATGATAAATGTTATACAATACATAGAAAATTGATTCTTATTGAGTCTACGAACTCGTTTGTTTTTTTTTCCTTCTTATCTTTCACCTTTTTAATGTAAAGTAAGTAGTTTACTGCTTCTTTTTAGTAGGTACCTTCACTTTTTCACTGAAAAACAGCATAGCATGATGAAAAAAGGCCCAAAACTTAATAAAAACAGTTTTATCATCAAAATGTTATTAAGAGGAAAAACCAAAGTATTTTTTTATTTCCTTAATTTTTAAAAATTATTTCTAGCACATTTAAAATTTTGATTAGGGTTAAAAAATTTTTATTTCATGTTTTTGGGGGAATTTTTTTTTTTTTTTTTTTTTTTTTTTATGTTACCCCCCACACACACTTACTGAATTTCATAAAATTTCAAGAAATTAAATTTGTCATTTTTTTATTAGTTAAAAGCAGGGTTCCTTGAAGAATGTAAATCATAATTTTTTTTATTTTTTAATTTTTTTTTTTTTTACAAACTTACATTCATTTACTGAAAATCTGCTCTGAATCACAAAATAAAAAATGCAATAAAACTCTAATTATTTAATTAGAAAAGCTTCCAATTGCTTTTATAAATAATATTTAAGGACACTATTGTCTTAACAAAAAGAATTTTTTGATAATGAATTTTTACAAAAATTGTTTTCCTTTTATTAAAAATATGTAATACTTTATAATATAAAAATAAATTTTTTAAAATTTTGCATTACTTTATGTAAGTTAGGTGATATTGTTATTAAGTGAAAACTTTATTTACTAATCAAAAATTTAAGATGCTTAATATAAATCTTTTTGTGCAAAGACTTCTTTTAAAATAATTTAAAATTATTTTATGTATATAAAATATAATGTAATGTCCCTGTTTGAAAGTATGGTTGACCTTACATGTTATTATCAGAAAATAACAGTGATGACTATAGTAAATTTAAAGTCAACATTTCTTTAGATTATGGAGAATATTTTCCAACATTTAAGATTACTGAGTACTTAAAAATTGCATAAAAAGGCTCTCACCTGTCATTTTCTTAAATTATGTTTTAGCAGATAGTCTCTGTAGAGCCTTTTAACACCTTATCAATGCTTGTTAAGTGATTGATGAAAAGCATGTTAATCACTGTTATTGTTTGTTTTAAAAATTCATTTCTCTGTTATTTTAGAGTAAATAATATTTTCTTTCAAATCAGATTAATTATACTTTAAATCAACTAATATTCCTCAAAGTTTCAGAAAAGTATATTTTATTTTTGGAAGATTTTTAAAACCGAGAATTAACTTTCGTTTACAAATGTGGAAAAAAAAAAAAAAAAAATGACCGATGTTAAACGATTTTCTGAAAGCGAACAAAATGTTGAGATTCCAATGAATATAATTTCTATTTGAAATACTCCATAGAGTATTCTGCTTATTGGAAATAGTAAATTTAATCATTTTGTTTTCAATTGAAAAAGAAAGCTTCAAGAAAGCTTTTTCATTTTTAAAAGTTCGTTTTAAACCTTAGGTATCGAAAATTAGTGGAGGAATCTGAAATTACCAGCAGCGAATCTTGTGGTTTGCGTCTATTCTTAAAAAAAAAAAAAAAAAAAAACTTGCGAGAAGTGAAATCAAGGATAAGGGGAGACAACTCTATGTAAACCTTTCCCCAGATTTTGGTTTCAAAAGAAGCCGCGGATAAGAAAAGCAAAAAAATTCAAGCATTAATTTATTAAACTATTTTATATCCATTCGAATTTTTTTTCAACTCACTGACGCCTGTTGAAATCCTCACCGTATTTAATATTGTTGATAAAATTGTTTTAAAATAAGAGTATTTTGTATGTTATATAATAAAAATTAATTTTCCCCCAAAATTAATGAAAATTTATTGGACTAAGCTACACACCCTAGTAAAACCAATTGTACTTTGTACCTCCTTGCCTGTTTGCACTTCTCCCCCAAATTTGGTTTCGTTTGGTCAGTGTATGGCTATTTTAGAAGGTGTGATAGATGGACTTATAGAAGTCACAGAATTTTATATATAATATATTATATATATATATTATTATATTTTTTTTTTTTTTTTTTTTTTTACCACCTCCCTATGGTTAGTCGGAACTCTATTGACATGCCCTTTCCACACTGTTTGGTCCTGTATTGCTGTCCCCAATGTCCAACTCCAAGTCCCAAGCTATGGTGTCTGGGAAAGCCAATTTTTGTGAGAAGGGTACTAATAAGAGTAAGGATGAGATGATTTCCCTGTCTGCTCAGTGGCAGTGGCTTGAAAACTGTAATTGTTTTCATTTGAGTTTAAATTGGCCACCTTAACCTTCTCTTTCAAACTGTCAGAGCTTGTGAATAAAATTGAAAATTATATTATGTAGTGGTGAAAAAAAAACTTTTGAACCCCCCCTGTAGATTAAATGGAAGTACCACTGCTATAAATCCTTGATTTAACGGACTCATATTGTTAAGGCCAAAAGTTTACAAAATATAAATATAAGCTAAGAACCATCTTTTATTTATTAATTTTTTTTTTTAAATATTTGTATTGAGTGAAAAAACAAAGCATTTTTATATAAAATGTAATATGTCAAAAAATAAAAATGTTATATACTGTAAATGTTTATTATTTTTGTTTTATTTTAATTTCCTTTTGATTTTTATTTATTTATTTCTTCACCATTTTAAAATGACCGAGCCAAGTCATAAGTCTTGTCAGAAGAATCAACAGAACAGATCTGTACCTCAATTTGAAATATCAATTTTAAGATAAAAGTGTTATGAATGTGGTGCAGAAATTCTTTTACTTCCTGAAAAAGAAAGCAAAAAAAATAAATGGAGTTGCATAATAGGCAGTGAAAAAAGAAATAATCTTTTTCAAATTTATTTTCCTGAGTTCTCAACTTGGTATCTATACTGATGACACAAATATTTAATCCTGTCTTGACAATAAGTCTGATCAGTTAGACAAAATGAAATTGGCAGGTGATCTCAAAAGAAAAAGACCTATAGTTTGTTAATTGGGACAAGGAATGGCTTAATTTTAACACCTGCAAAATGAAACTGATCTCTATTAACCACCTAAAGATCCCTTCCTATCTACATAGCTGATGCTAACCTCCATAAGAGTGACTTTTGGGCTAACATTCTTGGCTGATATGAAATGGAAAGACATTGAATCCATTGCTAGGTCAGCTGCTAAGAAAGTCAGTTCATTGTGTCATGTGAGACAATATTTCTCTTCAGAATCTATCTTGTATATTTATTGTGGGTCTGTAATAGCATGTTAAATACAAGTAAGTATT